TAACCCAACAATAAAATGTATTCTTCTGAATATCCTTTGACTGTGATGAAATGGTAAAAATAAATACGTTCAATTGAGTGGTTAAAAAAATTATGTTTTTAAATTTAATATGAGGTTGGTACTTCTCGTAAATTATAATTGTATTATAATATGATTGCTTAAGATTATTCAAAATTCATTATTACGTTAGAGGTTTAAATATTATGGCGAGGAAGTAAGATATAAAATATATATTTAAACTATGTATAATGTATATATTATATTATATTTAATTTCAATACGGTTATTTATTCAAATACAAAAATACCTATACGTTTTTATTTACGTTCATGACTACCTGTATAACTTTTTTTTACATGACATCATTATACTATGCATTTATCATTATAAAATATTTTAATAATTCATACTTATAATTTTAATGTGTTTAAATATTTCTTCAAATAGCTTACCTACGTATGAAATTATTATAACAATTATATACAATATGAAAAAAAGGGAAAATATGTGTATATATATTATCCGTATATTCTGAGGATTCATACTGGCTAATGTATAGTAGGGTGCATGCAACCTAAGCGTTATGACAATTATACGATTTTTTTAAAATTTATCTTTGTTTGGGGTTTACTTTGAACAATAGATTGTGGTCAAACATAGATATGTTCACATTTTACAAAATAGATAAAATATAAAACAGAGATAGTGGTGAACATAATATCAAACCTTTATTTAAAAATAAAATAGGGCCCACAGAGGAATAGACTGGTTACACAAAGCGAATGACCAATGAGTCTTGTCCCGGTAAAAGATATTCTACTTTTCACAACAGCCTATATTAAAAGCTTTCAGATATACATAAGAACTAAAAATAAAACCGATGAATTGACGAAAAGCGTAAACCCTTCGTACAGACTGTGACCTATTTTTTTCAAATGGTTTTTTAATAACAATCGCTATACAGTTTAAAACCATTGTGTTCGATCTAAAAAAATATACTTATTTTAGTATTATACAAAAAAAAGTATATTTAGAAAGATGAACATAAAGAAATATAAATTCTGTATTTTATTCCAAACTTTACAAAACAGATTGTTTTTAACGAACACTGTCTTAGAAATATAGTGTTTTACAAAACTTTTTAGAATTTTCCATTTGAATATTTGATGTATTATAAATATATTTACTCGTACACTTATGTGTAATGTCAACAGATGGAGTTTTACCAGATGATAGTGTAAAAACTTGACTTATTTCATTATATATAGTTGGAGAGAATACAAATATCGACGGAACTCAGTTGAAATTCTGAATAATTAAAATGATTGAAGTGCGATATACACAGTACCTACCTATGTACCTATTGATATTAATAAATAATGCCTATGAAGCGTTCTCAATTTAAATATTGTTTTATTTGAGTTTAATTATAATCTAGGTCAGTGATATAATATGTTGTCTGTGATCGCGGAACTATGGCAGTCGGTAATACATACAGATTGAATATATAGATATTGTATCTATGTAGAGTGCATAATTATGTGCAGTACAGAAGTGTGTTGTAATTTATTGAGAAGATCACTTTTACGTATGTGGTTATTTGAATTTAATGATTATCATCGTATAAAAAAAAACGATTCTTTTGCAGGGTACTCTTGGATTGGCCTTCAATTCTAACTACATAACTGTATTATTTTTATACTATTATTAGTAATTTATTAATTTGGAAGGAGTTGAACGTGTTGAACTACTTTTTACAAAAATATTGACGCACTTACCGTGAAATCTAAATAAAATTGCAGGTTTAAATAATTTGTGTGTAGAAAAATTACATCATAAGTCTGGGTTTCAGACTGAGTTTACAACTTGTGGTCCACGAACATCCTTGTGATATGCCTCTAGCGTTAGAACTGTAAAAATGTTTTTTTCTGGTAGGCATCGAAAACTTGTTTAGACGAGTTTGAACTTTGGATTATATCGTAGCACATTGTGAGACCATGAAAACTATAATGCATGATTCATTAATGATACATTGTAGATCTCGTGAGATAATAGCAAGATGTACAATTAGACCGTTTAATGGATATTTTATTTATACCTATACATACGTGTGTACCATTTAGTCGTATTGTAAATCTCGTTGTGACAGTGCATGACAAATTATTCAGATTAAAAGACCTTATACTGTATCAGTTGTAGTTTTAAGATATCAAATATACGTTGATGAATATTTGTAAAACCAATACAATCTTTGATTCGCTAAGAATTAAAAAACAAACATTCTTAAAACAATTCTAACAATTCAGTTCCACTCAAAATAACAAATTGGTATTTATAGCGAAAAAATTACTTTTTTTAAAGTATTTACTATTTAATAATATTTACATTTTATTAAAAATATAATGATTATCAACTGTACATATTTCTAAAATACTATTTTTTCCTACGATGTACCCGAATAGGATAGGGTCTGACTTAGGAAAAATATTTTACATGGTAAATGAGCATTTTCAATCTGTTTGACAGGGACAAAATTAATTATAATGACATGACAGTAATTTTTTACGGTGTTTGGCCGGGAGGTGTTGCAGGAAATGTGTGCTGTATTACCGGAAGACAAACAAGGGCCGGTGCTGGACGACATCCGGAAGATCAGCAAAGAGAGACGGCGGCAAAGGCGCGGGGCACCGATGTTGGCGCCTGCAACGGCTCGCCCCGGCCGTTCGCCGACCGATGGACTGACCGGCGTCTACCGGTCGACGTCCGAACTGTCGTATGCCTGCGCGGCGGCCCCGGCCACGGACGAAGAACCACCGGACCACGGCCACGGTGCAGGTGTGTTGCGGATGGCCGAAACGGGCACTCTGATGGCTACGGTGCGGGCGGCCAGGCGCAGACAGTCCATGTCCGCCACAGTCGTGTACAACCCGGCGTTCTACGACGCGCCGGACTCGCCACCCGTGGCCACTTCACCGGCCATCAACCCGGCAGGTCAACCGTATCTACACATGACGCCCGAAAACGGGTTCAGTCTGCACAGTCAGCAGCGGCTGTCCCCGGATCCGGAAGCTTAGTGATGGCGCTGTCGAGGCCGGACTTACGGGTGATTAAGTGAATACGGTGACCCAGATCGCTATTAAATGTCACCGAATTTTTTTCATTACACGCTACAAGTTTTCCGAAATTCCACTGATTGATAATCCAATTATATAAATGATCACGTTGTTTTCGATTTTCAAACAACAGATAGTGGCAATCTTGAGAAATAATTTCGACCATCCCCTTTCCAACAAAAAAAAATAAACATGGACAGAGCACTATGAGGAACAGTTGAAAAATTTAAAAATTGAGACCAGAGCATTATACATAGTTAGAATTTACTGTTAATTTATAATATTTAATTTATCGTTAACTATTTTTTGTTTTATAGCAATAATATAGAGTAACCGTATTGCAGTGATATAAAATTTATCAACATTAGTTTAATTTATTAGAAATTAAGTAACAGTGTTTAATTTCAGTGAAACCTTAACTATGATATTAGAACAATGATTTTAAAACAATATAATTACATAATACGGAAAAAAAGCCACGTACATGTCTCGGTTGGTGAAAAAGGTACTTTAGGAAAAAAGTATTATTTAGTTAGTAGTTAGTAGTTAGAACTACCAATATCTAGTATTTCTGCTTAATAGCGTTTTCTTTTTTAAAAAAGAATTGATTATTGAGTGTGCATATCAATTGTTTTATTTTCATCACATAGAAACCAAATTCTCAATTAATCGTCACTGATGGTTTTTTTTTTTTATTATTATTAAATACTCGTACATCAGTAAAAAATTAAACATTCATAAAATCTTTATATTGTACAACCGTTTATATAGTGACATAAAAAGTGTACTATATAGGAGTGCGAGAGTCTCTGGCCTGTAGGTATGTATAAATACATAATTAACAATTTAATTAACTATGATTAAATATAGGTACATAATTCTGTTAATATGTAACAATAAATTATACTTTAATAGTTATTAAAATTATTTATGACAAGAATTTAAGTATAATAAATTATGCAGTCGCATTACCAAGTAAACAAATATACGAATATTCTATGTATTTTTTATGTATATACTTATATGTATTTACGTGCTATATACGTATGGATTTAGGATATTTCTATTATACAATTGGGTCAAATAATGACTATTTCACTTATATTCAACGTATACGAAATTATTAGTGTTTATACGTATACTTGGATATGTGGTTTATTTTACGTAAAACATACGTGTATGGTCCGTGTAAAAAACGAATAATTTTTTTATATCCTCGGCTTATTGTTGCTACATTGTTTGAATAATCTTCGTGCTCTCAACGAATAATTTAGATTTATAGATCGTGCAACATAGATTTAAATAACATTTATACTTGGTGTATACTTCGTTTAGAACCAGTGTAAGATACTAAGCTATGTATATTTTTTAGGATATTAAACGTTTATTTTTGGTAGTTAACTTGTTTAGAACCAGTGTAAGATAAGTATTTTATTTGGATATTATATACGTAGTTTTCTCGTATATCATTCGTTTTCATAATAAATGCTTTTGGTATACAAATCATATAATTATATTATACTATGTACAGTTTTGTTTTCATACAGTTTATTTTTGTTATATACCTAACAAATTAAAATGCGTTCATACTTTATAGCCAGTGCAAGATCAGAGAAGCCAGGATTTGTCAATATATAATATACATAAGTAAAATATACAGATAAAAAAAATCTATGGTATTGCCGTATTGGGCTGTTATTTTAACAAAAAAAAAAAAATACTAAGCAAACAGCTATGGGGGGGTTTACAATTGACAACATCCCATAAACCCTTCCTTGACTACACTACCGCTTAGAAGAATATTTAGAAGATATATCTCCCCAACCGTACAATGCCGTACAGACGCCTTGATAGAATTGTATTGAGCACGAACTTTAGACGTCTTCAATGTCCATGGTATATTACATTGGAGAAGAAATGATATTGGCAGCTTTTGAAATGAGTGGTGGCACAGTCAAGGTCATGAGTTTGAATCTCACACGAGTATTTAAAAGATAGTATACAGCTTATAAGACTTTTAAAAGTAAATTAGAGCTTTACCAAAAAAGTTTTAAAATATTTTAAAATATTTAAATATTTTAAAATACCTCATTATTATAGTTGGTAATCTTACTATACTCAAGTATGAATTAAACTCAAACAATTAATTGGTAACAACAAGTGGGACCTGTCGCTGATTTTATCATATTTTGCTTTAAGTTTAGAGTTACATCTTTGAGTTTAGACAGTCAACCGGAATTCAATACGAAATTAATTAAAATCATTAGGTACCAACTACCAAGTAATACTTGATAATAATGATCTGGTTGGTATTCGTGGAAACTGTTACTAAACGCAATGTTATGTACTTAATATTTTATTTATTTGTATATATCACATAGCAGCTGTGTAACAAACTATAGATATAAGATATAAACTATTTAAACTGGGGTAAAAGTTCTGAAATTTGGTGTAAACTGGCACTGTGGTAAGAGTAATTTATAATAACTTTTGTACATTTAGAATTAATTATAATCATTTTTGGTAACTACTTTTATTAATGAGGCAGACAAGTTCATGTCGACTTGCAAATTTTCATTTAACTGAATTGTCAAAATATATTATACCTATAAGCTATATCATGATAATTTAACTTAACGATAAAAATATTTAACTGAGTATAACATTTATTTCTTGCATATTTCAGCGTTTTTTTCAATTAAAAAGAACACAATATTTTAGATTTTTTTTATAACATAAAACTTAATTTATTATTAATGTTATATAAAAGTCGAATTGTTTTTTTATAATTCTCTATTTCTCGATTAAGATAAGTTGTTTTTAAGATTCCTTCAAAATAAATTATAGCAATGAATTAAATTTGAATAAGATAAAAACATAAAATTATGTCAGAATTTAAACTTATATTACGTATATTTAACTTTTGAATAGAGACATTAATAGGTGAAGTCAGCCGTATTCAATATAATTACATAATAATAAATCAAATAATAGAAACTAAAACCTACCTACCTACATGTTTTATATTACTATTTTATTACCAATAGCTAAATATATGATGTATATTAGTGTTAATTTAAGGTTGATAAAATTAAAAATTATAAAGCTTCTTAAGATTAACTATTGATTGAAATATTAAATGACTCAAAAGCAATTATTGATTTTAAATGATGCTGGTTATTAATTATTTGATAATTAAATTGATATTATATACAAGCGGCTAAATAAAATGTATATACGTCATATATTAATATACTAATAAGTATATTATATTATACAACTGTAAAATATAGACATTATAATGTGTATATAGAATAATGCAATATACGAGTGCATAGAGTTATAAATTATAATAATATAGAACTAAAACTGACTAGGTATTAAATAAAAATTGTTGTTTCAGTTCATGCAATGATTTGAAAAATAAATGTAACTAATATAAAATTAATGATTGAAAAATGTTTAATTAACATTGTTATTCAGATCATAGTCCGTGATCATTATAAACTGAGTATTACATTAAGTAAGTTGATATTTATATTTATTATATCAAATCTTAACTAATTATTCTGAGAAAAACAATGAAAACAAATTTAGTTTAAACGTTGTACCTACTCGTACTATAAAATAAGACGTGTTAAAAGCTTCTGGTGCATATTATTTAGTGATTAATTGTTGCAAAACTTGATATTATACATACCTATTACCATTTATCTAGGTACCTGAAATAGTTTATTACAACGACAATGTGTCATTTAAGGACGGGCAATTGGAACTCGAAGCACCCCTCGGCTATTAGTTTAATTTATAACTATTTTATTATTACAGTATACATGAATACCTAATTTTAAAAAAAGTGATAATAATATCGTACAGAACAGACTACTCGAATTAAACGAAATTAATTCTAGCATAAATCTCAAATATTTTTACAGGCAACGTATTACATTTTTCAGCCGCTGTCGTCACTATTGAGTTTGTTATATACAATATCATTATTATTATAATAATAATAACAACGTTAAATTTAACGGGTTCTCGAATAGTGTTGCGATAACTATCAGTATAAACAATATTTCGTCTCCCCAAATGATAATATTGTATATTTATATTATTATAATGCACGTGTGTGTTACATGGGGTTGTCAAATATTACGATTTACGATTGATGCATTTACACAGTATACACACAATGCGAATTGTGACGTGTCAAAATCTCAAAATGACGCGATTAGGTTGATTATTCTACTGTTCATTTCTATTGTACATTTATTGAAATTTATATCAGTAATCATCGTAAAAGCAACGGTGATGGGATTATCAGCCGAAATTTGTCGTGGAGGAAAAAAGTTGAATATTATACATTATTAATTGGAATAGATGGATACAAATAAAACATTAACGGTCTACTGATCCTAAATAATTATTCATCAACGCGTATTATCTGCTGTGTTGTAACGCATATTTCAATAGAATCAATCAAATATAAAGTTGGTAATATACAGTTTTAGTTTTTAAATATCTAAAATAATTATGAAATATTTATATGAGAGTAGGTAAGTTATTTTAAGTTCGAATCTCTTATATATATATTATAGACATATCTAAAACTTTGTTAGTGAATTATTTTATTTAATATTTCTTAAAAATTAGTAGACACATAATGCTTTTTAGAGTAAAATTAAAATTAAAACTAATTCCGATAATGATAAATTATTATATTTTTAAGTTATTTTAACTTTATAATAGGCATTTCAATAAAATTCGTAAAGTAATTGCAGAATATTTAACAAATTAGTTCTTAAAACTTAAAAGTAAGAAGCCTGCAAGTATAGCATATGCATATCCCTCAATATTTCTATTTACAACCGTTACTTTATTGCCTAATATACCTACACATACCTTGAAATAAACACTGCACACGATGCATTTGAGTGGCATACGATTTTCATCAAAACGCTTTGAAAAAATGGAAACTACTTTATTACTTATATATGTATAGTATTTTATAGGTACTATATATACATTTTTTTATAGTTACATTTTTCTTACTTTTTACTTTTTAGTTATTATAGCCAATGTAAAATATAACAACGCCGTTGGTTAAGTCATGTCATGGTTAAATCAGTGTCGATCTGGCTTAGCCAACATCCGCCAAGAGCCCTTAGATATTTTTCAATATTAGCAGCACATAGATAAAATGGGTAAATGTATATTTAAAATCCGTATGTGTTGTGACTTGGGTTCCAATCTAATCAATTTGTAAACATTTGACATTGTAATAATTTATGTCTTGTTTCTTTAATGAATATTATGGATACCTATATGGCTATACAGCATTGCAAGAGTTATGTTCTTATGAACTCCTACGCACACGATGAGTTAAATGTAAACAAGTACTATCAAAATTAAAAAAATTAAACACCAAACTTTGATTTTTCATAAGCCAAAAATATATGGATTTTTCAACTTTTATGTTTGTTGAAAAAGAAATAATTTATTTTTTAAACAAAGATCAAATTATCGTTGTGTTAGTATCATCCTGTATCATTATCTAGGGACATTAAAAAACAATGTTATTAAAATTATCATTACTTATAAATTATTTAATTAATGTTGCTTAATCTGTTAATTAATTATATTTTTTTCAATATGGAATATTATTTTCAACTGTATGTGCACAATTTTAAAAAAGTAAGTAAAAAATTGTTGATAATACCAATTATTTTAATGTAATAATTTATTTTTTAATTAAAAATAAAACAATTTTATTGCAAGGTATTAAAATGCAGATACACTTTTTTAAAGTGTTTATGGTGCACATTGTAAATTACTGAACCTAATCATGGAGCAAGACCACTGTACAGAGTATTTATTTAAATAACTAGATACAATATTATAATATGCCTACAACTGCAAGTATAATTACATAATTTATATAATTATGTCTATATATTTTAATTCTTATTTTTTAGTAAATATCGTTTGACAGAGTATATTTGTTAGAATTTATATCTACACATTTTTATGGGAGTTATGAGAATGACCTATACCTAAATATCTAACATAAATATTTCCGAAATAATAATAACAAAATTGATGCAACACTAAGATGTGCGTAGTTCAACAGCAAAACGGCACTTATGCAAAACCCAAAGGACATTTGCACTTTGCAAAAACTATAAAACAAATAAAAAATAGCTAGCAACTTTACATAAATTTTCGACTTATCCGCGAGATGATACATTTCGATATAAAAAAAAAAAACGTAAAAACTACCACTGTGACGGTCGGTAAAGCGGCTGCTATATTTGGCTAATGCACCTTAGCGCCGGCAAACGAAAGTCGATAGACCGATAAATTAGTTTAGCGTAAGCAACGTTCTGACAGAGGTGAGTTTTTTCTTCTCCAGAAGGATAATACCACAAATATTATTATAATGGCCGATCATATTTTGTTTGTATCAATGTTGTGAAAACAGCTGTGAATATTATGTAAAAAAACCGTAAAATAAGGTGATTAGTATCACCTTTCGAGAGATTACATTTTATTATTTTTTCATCCTCTTATTATTATACTGCAACTGTACGTGGAATAAATGTATTTAAATAGATGGTTAAAAAAATACTGAATGCCCGGCTCATTTTGATAATTATTGTTAGGTAATATTACAAAAAAAAATATGAAATAAAACACGTTTGCAGTTTTACAAATTAAAATGACGGTGACAATTACTACAATGAATACATGTCTCATTAATTTTAGACGTAGGTACTTACGGTAGGTGAGTAAGTACTTACTCCTATAATTCATCGATACACTCAAATTCATATTGTACTCATAATTATCAGTTCATACCCCGCGGTCAATACTGTTAGCCACAAATTTATCATTCTCTGGTGAGAAAAATATAACTTGCAGAGGCCATATTTCGTCTATATTGGTTTATTATTCGTTTTAATTATAATATTATGTAGGTAGGT